CCAATTAATTTGGAAATAAAATAAAATTCAATTTAACCAAATTAATTTCACACAAGAAATTAAATTCTGTAAAATAAAAGAAATAAGAATATAACTTTTATTTCTCAATTAATTTGGAAAAAAATAAAATTTTATTCAACCAAATTAATTCCACACAAGAAATTAAATTCTGTAGCACTTCAATAATTAAAACACTAAAACAGAATTTTAAGTAATGAAAACTTAGAAAATAATTTCTAAAACCCAAAATTAATTTCTGAAAAAATTTCACAAAAATATATTCTGAATTGTTAATGACACCAATATCATACTACTAGTTGTTGTCAAAGAAAAGAGACAGTATATTACTAGCATCTGTCAAATAGCATATAATCACTATTTGTTTCTCCAACCAGAATATTATTTTGTAAATCCACAGAAAATAATTTTCTTCCAAAATTATTTACAAAGAATGAAAAAGGGAAACAAATGAAAAATTCTGTAAACAGAATAATTCGAGTCTGTCTTAAGATTGTTGGAACAATCTTTAGTGTAAATAAAATAAATTGAAATAATTCAAACAAAATAAAATAAAACTTACAAAAATTATTTTGTTGAACCGTAACAATAATTAAAGACCAAGTCGAGTGTATGACACTCTATCCTTAAGACAGATTCGCCCCGCTACGGTGCTTACGGTTGTGTGGCGTCTATCTCCCAAGATACAATGATCTTCACAAATTATAGTAGCACTCCAAACAATTTGTTCGGCGAACCAAACCTGTGTTCTTATACTCTCTCTATTTTATTCTAAACTAGAATGAAGAATATAAAATGCAAAGAAGCAAAATGGATAGAAAAATTAAATTTTTCTGACTGTTTTTCAACCCTAAAGACTGCTGGAAAATGTATGGTAAATATAGGCAAATATCTCAGTCCGAACAAATAAGTTTCTGCCTGTACAGATATGAAACTGTTCTGTACAGATTCAAAATGGAAACTGGACAAATCTTGAATCTGTCCGAATTTTAACAAATTGAAACAAGTCTGGATAGAATTTACTTGATGTTTTTCCATCCACCCATCTGCAGAAAACCAGTCCTGAATATATACGCCCGAATAGGTATAAAAAGAAGTGAACAGATGCTATTTGAATTGGACAGATGTCATTCAAAATTCAAATAGATTTGGAACAAAATCTGTCCAGACTGTTAAGAAACTGTCCGGTTTAAAACAGTTTAGAAAAATCTGTTTGAAATTGAAAATCTATTGTGGAATATTTAGACAGGAAAAAGTTTGTTTGGACAAAAAATTTAAATTCAAATTTGTATTAAATTTCTGCAATAATGTTTGAAAAAATTCAAAAGAATTTTGTCCAAAAAATTAATATAAGAACCGACCCGACCCACAACCGCGCCTAGCACAGACGGCGGCAGCGCGCGCGTAGTGGTTTGGGCTAAGGTTCACTTTGTCCATAACTCCCCCTTCTACAAACTTGGGGTGCCCCTTGGGGCCCAACCCAAGCATTGTAGGCTAGAACTTATAAACTCAACAAAACTCTCTTTAAGTTTCAATGTGGGACAAGCCTCACAAGGAAATACACATTCAAAACTTAAATGTTCAATTCCACGAATCCAAAAACGACGTCATGTTCCCATTCACTCATAAATGGTTTTGACGAACCGTCTTCAACGTGTGACTTGCCACGCGGCAAGGAATACTTTACCTCTTCGGACCTGCCCCAAAAGACGTTCGGGGCCCACTCAATTTTGGGTTCAAAGTCGGCCCAAAATAATCCTATATAAACCATTTTTTTCAACACTTGATACATAAAAGGAAAAGACTATGCTCCGCATCCCTCAAAGGATGTGTACCATATGCACTTCATAACTAAAGAGGAAAATGACAAAAATTCATATTTTTGAGTTATAACTATAAAAAATAAAAAAAATCATAACCAAACACCATTATGAGGTATAACTAAGATCTCATGAGTTATAACTAAAATAATATTATAACTAAACAAGAAAATTGGTCATAACTAAAAAAGAAAATAACACAATTAAGGATGCATATAATACAGTTCTTTCAAAGGGTGTGTGCAAGGGGTGTGCACAGTAGAATTTCTCTACATAACACTTAAAAATAATAATAATGAATAAATAAGTAAAAAATAAAAGAGAAAGATATACAGATTCACTTTTTAAACTCAATGATGTGCAAATAATATGATTGATTAATTATTAGAAAAGATATAAGAGAATATTACCTTTAATATTCTAATTATTATTAAACTTAAAAAATAAATTTAATTTTTAATCTTAAATAGCAATGTTCTTCGTAGTGTTACTCATCAATCCTCTATTCCACCCATCTAAAAATAAAATTAAAAATTAAAAAATGGCAAATTTCACTTTATCTTCCTTATTTTGGGTTATGTACCATTTACCGCTTAATGTTTGGAATGACCATAAAACCCCTTGTGTTTTGTGAACTGAAATGTTCTGTTAGGTCCGTTAACAATTTAATAAAAAAGATTGAAATACTCTTATATTTTTGTCATTTGTTTAGAAGGTAAAGTATACTTTAACCCCATATGATTTATTCTATGTGTGATTTACCCATTTAAAATTTAAAAATAAACATATAACCTCCTTAATCTGTCATATATTTCACAATTATTATTAAATTAAATAAAATATTTGATAATATATTTCAGTTCACAAACTATATAAAAATTATGTCATCATTTTAAAATATTAAGATTAATTGCACATGGCCAATTTACGAACGGTGAGGTGAAATTTGTCACGATAAATAAATAATATAAAATAAAAAAGTCCTCTATTCCATTTCTTATGCTTGTGCACACGAAAATCAAGGCTATAATCAAGCGAAGACTAATGAAGTTTACAAAAACGATAACATCCTTGGACTGTTCTCAAAAATAAATAAATAATAATAAAATTCCTTGGACCACAACAAACCCGAAAATCAATTGTAAAAGCGGATATCTTTTGACCAAAAAAATTAATTTTAGAGTTTTACTTTTATAATAAAATAAGTTTTAAACTATTAAAATTTAAATCGTAGTTTTTAAATTTATTTTTAATTTAAATTATTTATCTATTTTTCTAAGTAAAACTAATAAAAAAAATAATATTTTAATTACTAAACGCAATGAAAAAATATATCTGAGATATTTTATGTATAAATTGAGTTTGATGATTTTTTTTTGGGGTTTTTTTTTTAAGATCCCTGGTATTATGATTTTATAGCATAAGGACATCAAATATTTTTATAATGTCTAAGGTCCCTCAACAATATTTTCATAATGTCTAAGGTCCCTCAACCTTGATCCAGAGAAATTTCAGTCCAGAGAAATTTCGGCCAGAGAAAATTCGGGCCAGAGAAAATCTGATCTAGAGAAATTCTGAAAATTTCTCTGGACTTCACTCTTCAGAGAAAATCCGGACTTTCCAGAGAAATTTTGAAAATTTCTCTGGACTTCACTCTTCAGACAAAATTCGGTTCTTTTCTTTGGATTCAACTGAAAAATTCCACATTGTAATATGTAAGCAACATTAGAATGGGATAACAATGGCAACTTACCAGAACCAGAGAAATTCTGGAAAAATCTGGATTTGATCCTCCACCATTGTTGCTACTATTGTTACCATCTCCACTGCCACTCGACTCCGGAGACCCAAATGCCCCAACTGTAGCACAAGTCTTTAAGTAGGAATGCTTCCCTATATTAAAACTATGAAGCTTTTTATCAAATTCCAAATCAAATTTCCAGAGAAAATTCTATCCATAAAATTTCTCTGGACATCACAGAGAAAATTTCAAATTTCTCTGAACAAATCACATAAAAAATTTCAGAAAAAATTTCAAAATTCTATCCACTATAGAACCAATCGATTTTGCGGTGACTTGGATACATATTCACAGAGAAAATCCCATCACCAGAGAATTTCTCTGGATTTAAAACCAGAGAAATTTTCTGCATCACCAAAAAAAAAACAACAACAACAACAACAACAACCCAAAGAAATTATGTTTTTGGTCTTTGAAATTTCTCTGGACACTTCAATCCAGAGAAATTCAATTGGGTTGATCCAGAGAAATTATCTGGTTTGTCTTGATAATTTCTTATTCTTATTTGCTAGTGTCCTAATTTTTGCAGAGATAGTCAAGGAAATACTAAAAGAACGCCTATCAAACTTGAAAAAGAATGCAATCATTTTCATTATCATCAAACAATTTTCAGTAACATACACTGCAAATAACTGAAACAGCAAGTAGTAGACATTCGAAAGCAAAAGAATATGTTTAACTGGGGAGACATTAACAATTGATTCTACAAAATACACAAAATTATGAAGGCCGGCAATTTACACAGTTTGTACAATCAGCCAAAGTTTGATCACACCACTGCACTTGAAGATATCCAGGTATCTTTCTGTAGACTCCCCTGGAAACTACAAGATTGTTTGAATTTTTTCCGGGTTTTCCCAGTGGCTACCATAAAGAAAAGGTTTATGATTTACTTGTGGATTGGAGAGGGACTTCCATCCCCAACAAATTCGATAGACCAAAATACAGAAGAAGAAATTGTGTTGGGGAAGACGGCAGAGGATTTTGGCATGAAAACCAACTTTAACCAATATGTTTTAATTTCTATTTCTGCCCCTCATAGAAATAGAAATTATACAATTAGTATCTACACATTAGGTCCATAACACATATACCCTTAAGCCTATTAACTAAATTGAATCACTTAAATTATAAGTGATTATAAATGATAACACCACATTTAATTATGTGGCCCCATTGAGACATTATCTAACAATAAATAAATAGACATGCGAGTTCTGTTTTATATTTAATTTATGTGTTTATAACATTATTGGCTTTTCCTGGTCTTGTTCTATAAAAACAAATCTTCAATTCCTTGAATTCCACAATCCCACCTGACCACTCGAAGAAGCTCTTCTGTTCCATTTTCTCTCTGTGAGAGAGAGAGAGCAATGGAGAGAGAAGTGGTAGTTGTGGAATGTGAGATGGATCGGCAACCCGGAATCCCTGACTCGGTCGCCACTCGGTCGGACGACGTCGCTTTGGTGGTGTTTGATTCCGCCGCTCCTCCTCCTCCTCCTCCAATCCCACCTTCAGGGGACAAGGTACGTATTTATTACCCTTACACACACACCTTCAGGAGACAAGATACGTATTTATTACCCTTACACACACATACACCACACACACACCTTCAGAAGGCAAGGTACGTATTTATTACCCTCACAAACACCACACCACACCATACACCGCACACACTATACAACTATGTATCCATACGTATATATTCATATGTACGTATCGAAATTTTGTACTTCTCTCCAATTTATATTGGACTGGACCCGTCACGCAAAATCTAACTCGTCCATTATTTGATCGATGTAAAAAAATTTGGGATTAATGTTTTAAAAATCGGACCGATAAGCAAATCAAAAAAGTAATCGGTGGACGGGTCATCATTTCTGTTGTTGAGTTTAATCGAAATCGAACCGTCAAGCCATAAATATATTAAAATTATATTTAAATAAAAATATAAGTAATAAAATTATAAATTAAAAATATTAAATTATCTTAAATATTTGTCCTAATATTTTTTCTTACTAAAAAATATAATAATATATTTTAAAATATTATTAATTTCAATTTTGGATGATGAAATCAAATATTTAATAGTCATTTCATATGATTTTAATTCAAATAATTTGATTGAAAGGAGAACAAAAATTTTGAAGGGATATCAAAATTTCAATATTCCCTCCAATACATTTGATTGAATCCCACATGAATTTCTTGAGTCTTTTTTAAAGAACTTTTTTCTTATAAATAGGTGAAAACTTTCACCATAATTTCATCAAGCTCTTAGCCTCCGTTTGGGAAGTGGGTTGGCTTTTTGTCTTTTTTGGCTATTTTAGCCTGGGGCTAAAAAGCTTAGTTTGAGAAGGGTTTTTTGACTTTTTGGTGAGGTGTCATCCTGTTAAATTACCAAATTGCCCTTTTTGTCTTTTTTTTTTTTATTTTTTAATTTGGGTTTGGATTTGGTATATTTTCCTTTTTTTTTTTTTTACAATTTTGGCTTTTTGCTTAAATTTTTTTTTTGTTTTTTTTTTGTTTGGATTTTGCATATTTTGGTTATTTTTTTATTTTAATTTTTTTAAGTTAGGTTTCGATTTGGCATATTTTGCTCTTTTTTTTTTTTTTTGGTTTGGATTTGGCATTTTTTGCTTTTTTTTTTGTATGTTGGGTTTCGATCTGCCGAATTTTGCTTAATTTTTTTATTTTTTATTTTTTTTATTTTGAGTTTGGATTTGTCATATTTTGGTTATTCTTTTTTATTTTTATTTTTTTATGTTGGGTTTCGATTGGGTGTTTTTTGCTAAATTTTTTTTTTTTTTTTGGGGTTTGGATTTGGCATTTTTTGCTTAATTTTTTTTTTCGACAATTTTTGTATGTTGGGTTTCGATCTGCCGAATTTTGCAAATCCAATTTTTTATTTTTGAGTTTGGATTTGGCGGATTTTGCGTTAATTTTTTTTTTGCGCTTGGATATTTCGTATTTTGCTTAATTTTTTTCTTGTTACTTTTTTTATTTATTTTTGGTTTGGATTTGGCATATTGTGCTTAAATTTTTTGATTTTTTTTTTGGGAATTTATGTTTTTGTCTTTTTATTGTTTTTTTTTTTTTTACATTAATTAGTTCTTGTTCTTCATTTTTATTGGTATACAATAACTTTTATTTAATATATTTATGTGTTTCATTTATTTATAAATTATGTCGCGAATCGTAATTTATGTTTTCATGTTTTTGTTCTAAAATATTTATTGAATGTGGCGTAATTTTGTCGTTATTTTTTCAAAATTTACGATTTTGTCATTGTCTTATTCACTCACATTAATTTGTTTTTATATTTACAAAATGGATTTTCTCTCGTTTTATTTATTTGTAAATGACGTGGCAAATGATAATTTCTGTTTTTTTCTATTTTTTTTTGATGAGGCCTATGTTTGTCGTTCTTCTTTTTTTAATTTTTGTTGCCGTAATTTTATTTAATTTGTATACAGTACTTTGTTATTATATTTGACAAATCAGTTTTCGTCATGCTTATTTTATCTGTAAATTATGTGGCAAATGCTAATTTCGGTTGTTTTTTTGTTTGGAAAAATGTTTTTTTATGTCATTTATTCAAAATACAGTGGAAAATCATATATTGCCGTGGCACATGTCAAAAAATCTACAGTCTGTTTTGGTTTTCTTGTTGTTTTGAACCTCTGTTTTTATGTTTTTAATTGACGTCGCACATGACAATTTGTGTATTAGTTTTCTTTTTCATTTGTTTTTATTTGTTTCACCTTTTTTTTGTTTTTCGAAAAGCTAAATTGGTATGGATTGTTGTTTTCCAAAGTTAGGCACGTCACCAACTGGAAGGGGTTATATTCTCGTGGAAACTCATACATATTGTACATAATAATATATTTGAATACAGTCTGTTCCACGTGTGTCATTATGTGACAACCATACGAAAATTATTTCGACTATTATATATTTCCTAACATTCCGTTATTACGCATGTAACATAATTTATCGCGTATGTGAAGGCGGACCAATGCCATATAGGGGTCCTCATCTCCAACCATTAAACCATCCTCGTTATGTTCAACTTCTGGTATGGCATTTACTATTGTCATAGCCTCTTCCTCGTCACAGATTGGCTGAACAGTTGTTGGGTTACCTATGTTTCGCCGTATATAATTATGTAATGCCATTGACGCACCTACTAACTGAACTTGCACATTTGTAAAGTCATACCGAGGCATGTCTCGAATAAACCCCCATCGATTTTTCCAGGCACCGAAAGTGCGTTCCATCACACTGCGTAAGGACGAGTGCACTTTGTTAAATAATTCCCTTGGCGTGTTTGCCGTCGTGTTCTGTGCAATACGTCGGAATTCTTGTTGGTGGTAACGGTGGCCTTTGAATGGTGCTAAGTAACTAATCTGGTTTAGATAGCTAGAATCGACAAGATAATATTTGCCTGCAGACATGACAACAATGTATGACACCAAAACCGCACATTCTGCGTCATTTTCAAGTAACGCTGTTTCAGGAAAAATTTGTAGCCCCTTACATCTAATAACAGGACGATGTGTTACCTTCGTCAGGATGTGGGAAGGGGACATTGTCATTTGTTAGTATTTTGTTGAATACGCGACTATCATGCATACTTCCTTTCCATCTGCAGGAAATGAATATGAAACACATGTCAAAATCGACAGCGGCCATGATATTTTGCGTGTGACAGTATTTCCTACCGAAATATGTTGCCGCATCTGGCCCCGTAACCCATGCACTGACATGTGTTCCGTCTATTGCGCCAATGCAATCCTGCAAACAACCCAATTGTTTTGTTGCGTAAATGGGTAACAAGTGTTTGGTTTTTTCCAGGCGTCACGTGCAGTTAATAACAAAAACAAAATATAATTAATTGTCTTGATTTATATGTCAATAATGTTTTTCAGAAGTACCTTGAACGGTAGGTATTTCTGTCTAGACCGCACGTATAGATGTATACGATGCTGACTGTATGTGGACCGGCAATGAACAACAGTGAACTCTTTCATGGAAGTTAATACGTTATGCACGTGCCTCGACACAGTCTCCCCGGAATGTTGGAACTGTTCTTGGATTTCCCGATTTTGCTTCCCTTTCAACACATGGATAAACATTGCAACGCTTTCTTCAACAGCTAAGCCATGTGGACGTTGAAGAACTTGTAACCCAAAATCATTTACTAATGTCTCACACAATGCGGCAAAAACTTCCTTCGGCATGCAAACATTTTCCTCAAATCGACCCATATGGCCCGCATATAGTTCGCATATCCATGTATTCCCGGTTAGTATAGAAGTGCGACACGGCGTTTTATTCATGTGTTTTTCGTACCATTATGTCGCATACTGGCATGCTTGTAGAAATGTGCAGTTCTGTTCTTGTTGCACCTGGACCGCCATTTGATTAAGCATTTCCGTTATTTCATCATGGTTGGTTCCATTCTAGGGATTCATCGCGTCTTCGTTGATGCGAAACCTACAAGAGTGGCAGTCTTTCAATCAGTTGGCACGTGATTCATTTACTGAAATTATATTGAAGTTTGCAATTAAAAAATGCCGACATTGTTTTTAATCAAAGTAATGTCGTCACCAATGTCATTTGGAACGCATAATCATATGAATTGCACAAAAAAAAAGAAGCTGTTCAACTTATGCTTTACAGGGGGGCCATGGTGGTAACAACCAAAAAACTAGCCAGCTAAACTAACAATTTAACTTGCGACATATAGGCATTCAAAAGCGTGCAAGGAAAACGTAATTCCCTGTCTTAAAAATAGCCACACAAAATATTAAAACATAAACATCCCATTCATTTCCCAAAAACGAAGCAGAACCATGCTTCCGTTCCGTCAACCCATGCAGTTAACTAAAACTTTTGCTGACCATAGCTAGGAAGAAAAAAACAAAAACGACAGAAAAAAACATGCACACACCACCATCCTGTTTTAGTACAGTGCCAACAATACCATAAGTCAAAGTTTTAAAAAGGAAGACAAGGACATGCATCTTCAACACTCGTAACAACGCTATATCACATCCGGCGACCCCCAAACAGGTTTACAAAAGGCGCCGACGCAGTACACTGGAGCTGCTTCTGTGTAAGCCATCCAATGATGTGGTCGTCATCAGGCTGGCACATTATCACCTCCCGATAATCGGCATTATCCATAAGTGTGGAGGCGAAGTGGAATAACGGCGTACCAATCAGGGATGGAATACTGCTCAGTTTATGCATGCACTCCGAAATAGTGTACAACGATTCGTTGCCTATGAGGTGCCTCACCGTAACCTGCTGATTCTTCGTACGCACCACATCTGTCAGATTGTTCATGCTTTCTGCAATAACTGACGCACCACTTGTTGCCTTCTTCGACTTTGAAACACTTGTTGATGGCGTCTTTCTCCTTTTCCCCTTTTCAATCGGAACATGCTCCAGTGAAGAATCTGAATCCACGTCCTCTACTCCAGTGTTTGGTATCGGATCAGCAAATGGCAGGGGTCCCAAACTATGCACTAAATCAGATGAGTCATCAGCAGATTCAGGGAGTTTCTCGCCCGGGGTCCAGTGGTGTTTCCCAGTAGCTGATGCCCCCATGAAGACCGTCTCCATCAACTCATGGTGTTCCAATGTTTTTTTCCTGAACTTGCCACACACCTTGTTGATCTGCAGAAATAGAGATATATGAAAGAGGAAGACGTTACATTTCATATAATTAATTAAAAGGTAACTGAACAAGTAAAAAATGTACTGGTAAATGACAAATATAAAACTTGTTTGTACATGTACTTACTGATTCCATCTTGTCCCACCACTCCTCAGGTGCCTGAAACATACCGGTGTCACAGTCAAAGCCTATCTCGGACACTCCTTTGCTTGAGTCCATCAACTTTGTCCACGCTTGCCACTCTTTTTTCAAGCTCATGTACTTGTTCTTGAACTGTTTAAGTCCATGTTATCTTCCTTTTTTTTTTTTCTGAAATTTCCTTGCCAACGACTTGTACCTTGCTTGGTTGAGGACTAGGAATGGACGATTTCCTTTAGTAATCTCATTTGCAATCAACTCCAGGAAAACTCGGATTGAGTTACTGTCCCATGCCGCCTTGTGGCTTAACTGATTATGTGTCTCTTCAGGACTGCTTGACTTGTCAGTGACAACGCCTTTGCTTTTCGATTGGTTACGCGGAGAAGTACGTGTGGAAGCCATTACTAATGTACGGTTACAAGAGATTACCATCACAAATTCGGTTGTTATATACACACGCATACGCCATGACACATTAATGACAACAGCCAGAGATGTAGGATGCTAAAGTTAAATTTGCATATAACCATTGCACATTCATAACGTACGTACACAGATTCCATAGAAGTTAGTAGTGGACAAAAATATGATAGTTAGTAATACGGCTCCCATATGCCACAACATACTAGCAACATACTACGAACATACTAAGTACATACTAACAACATACTGACAACATGGTAACGGTGCTTACATACGGCACAACAAAATGACAACGACAATGCAAAGCACATACACAATGGTCTTAAGGACACGTAAATTTTGTTGAATGTCTATGACATCAGCCCGCAATTGCATGGCAATTTCATCTCCGGGTGACGCATAGTCTTGGTTCTCTCGCCTTCGTTCTTCACACCAACCAATCCAACTGACACAGGGCTGATGAGTGCAAATTATGGAACTATTAGTTTCATGGGTTGTTAATTTTCATACCAATATGATTGGTAAAGAATGGGTCACTCACCACAGGGCGGGGACAGACAAAGTAGGGACGCCGTGGATTTTTGGTGGACCTGGAAATCTTAACAATACAAGGGCCATGTCCACAGGCACACATTCGTCGTGGCCATGTATTGGAAGTCGCAGTAGAGGTGAACGACGCCCTGCTACGCTTTAAATTTTAATTAAATTACATGAATAAACGTGAACACATAGAAAGACTAACGCAATTTTATATTTGATTCCATGAATGCACTAGATTGTTTGTAACAGTCTTGTGCATGTTGAATTTAGGTATATTGGTAATATATGTTGGAATATATTTTTTAATATATTTGTGCATATATTGTTAATATATTTTGTAATAATTTATTTTTTTAATATATGTTTAATAAAAATTTTACGGACATATAATTTGTTAAATGTAAATTTTGAATATACATTTTAATATATTTTTAACATCTTTTTAATATATTTTTTAATAAACCCAATTTGTCGTTATTTTTAATAACTTTTTAATATATCTACCTTCCTTCCCAAATTTAGTTTGTAATATATTTTTTAGTGAAATATGTTATTCACAAATGAGAATTGAGCATTGAGTATTGAGTACAAAATATATTAAAATTAATAAATCTATTTTGTAATATATTTTGAATATATTTTTTACTCAAATAAGTGTTTGAAAACTAAATTTTTGTTATATTGTTGAAAATATTTGTGAGGAAATTTTCTTTAAGATAATTTTAAAATATTTTTGAATATATTTTGAATATATTTTTTAATAATTAAATTTTGTCATATATGTTTAATAAAATTTGTACACTCTTTACTTTTTAAATCAAAAATTGTAATATATATTTTAATATATTTTTAATATCTTTGTAATATATTTCTTAATAAACCATATTTTGTAATATATTTGTAATATAATTTTTATATATTTTCGAAAAAATTTGTTGTTAATATATATAGATAATATATTTACCTTCCTTCCCAAATTAATAGTTTGCAATATATAGATAATATATAGTTTGCAATATATTTTTTATGTAATTAATATATTGTTAACAAATGAGAATTGAGCAATTCGTATGAGTAAAAAATATATTCAAATTTTTGAAAATCTATTTTGTAATATATTTTGAATATATTTTATATGATATTTTGAAAATATTTTTGCATATATTTTTACGATATTCTTTAATAATTAAATTTTATCATATATGTTTAATAAAATTTTGACACTCCTTAATCTAAATTTGTAGTATATATTTTAATTTATTATTAATATCTTTGTAATATATTTTTAATATATTTGTTAATACACCCAAGTTTGTAATATACTTGTAATATAATTTGTATATATTTTCTAATTTGTAAATAAGAACAGATTCCTTCATTTCGAACAACGGTGCCTTCCGTTTGTGATCAACAGATCTGATTTCCATAAATAAGATGCACTTTTTTCATAAAAACACATATTATATATATATATATATACATATCGAACAAATTTTTAACATAAGAACAGATTCCATGATAACCGAACAGAATCCATGATCACTGAACAGATTTTGAACACAAGAACAGATCACAAACCCAGATTTCTCACAGAGACAGATCAGTGCCCCAAATGTGTGTAATGTAAGCGTAATCAACCCAATCATGACCGTAAAGCAACAGATCGGTCATGGACCGTGTTTTGTGCTCTGAAGCGAAAACAGTGCAGACAAAGTTTTTCTGAGCTCTGTTTGTCTCTTTTGCTCTTCTCTGTCATAGAGAGGCTCAAGAGAAGAACGAAGTGGGTTCCAAAACCATCAATAAGCAAGTTGATTGCTTGATGATTTCAGAGACAATCCAACAAAAATCAATAAATGCTATGAACAACCACTCCTCCCTCATATCATGAAATGAGTTTAAAGAGGGAGATAAAGACTCTTCAAGTTTCATCAACACGTCATGAATTGGTGCGTGACGACTCTTGACACTATGGATTCGGCATAACGTCCGGCTGAATCCAAGCAACCTTACTCATTTTCTTTACATTGGTTTCATTGGTTTTAAGCCAATTTTATTGGTCTTTTCCATTCTTTAATCAATTTGTCCGAAGTGATAGTAAGTCCACTAAATGAGAAGAAATATCAAACGAGAAGTGATCCGAAGCATGAAAGAGGGACTACGCCTTGACGATGAACCTCCGAAGAGGTTAAGCCATTGAGCATAGGTCTCTTTCCCATGCCTTGAATAACCATCAATCTTTTGAGACAACTCTCAAACAAAAGAAAAGAA